AAGTGAAGGGTCAGCAAAAGAGAGGAAGACCCTCAGCAAGGCAGACTGCCATAGTGATGGCTGCAATGGGCTCAAGGGTGTCAGAGATGATGAGGATTCTCTAGGACAGGATAGGGTCCCTGTGAACAGGGTCCTTGCTGGAAGTCGTACTCAGTGAAAGGGCAAAATAACATGTAGATAGTATGTAACTGAATCTGGAATTATATTTAAAATTTGACATTTTATTTTTCTAAATAGTTATGATAAAGCAACTAAAATTTCAAATCAGAATAATGTTAAACTATTTTTTAAATGAAATATGGGTTTACTCTTTTAAATTACATTCCTAACCATTGATTTTCACTTTCTGAGTATGTGAGAACTTGAAATGATTTGTGTGTAAGCTAATCATTATGGACTGGTCAGTTTTTTTATCACACCAAGTTAAACTGAGGTTTACCAACCAAGCTGGGACTCTCACTACTAGGAAGTAAGAGGACGCAGGCAGTGCAGTGCTAGTCTTTGGGGTCAGAGATTATTTTTTGTCATTCAGACTAGGATCTACACCAGAGTAACAGCAGGATGAGCAGAGAACGAGAGATCAACATGAGAGAGCTGACTCAAAAAAACAGTCGTGGCCTTTGTCCAAAATTCCTAAATGACTCAGGAAAGTGAATACAATTGATATGACTATGGAACATTCTAACACTGACCTAAGCTGTGAACTTGAAAGACAAAGAACTTGAGAGCATGTATGAGAAGCTGCCTGGAATGAAGAATTGTACTCTGTTTTCAACATGAATTGCAATCTATTATAATCTCTACCAAACCCCATAACCATAAGTATTGTTCTATGAGATCAATGTGATTCAGTACAACAGAATTCAGATCCTGCAGTAGGGCAGTGTGGCTGATATCAGAATTAGTAGAAGTAGGTATGTGCAATGAGCTCATATATGACTTGATAAAAATGGGTTTGGCTGTTGTTGATGGGGATACTTCACCTTTGTGGAGTTAGCAGAGATCAGACACAGTTACCCCCACCTTGTTGACTCGTTTTATAGTATAAACACATGCGCGTGAGTGCGCGCCCTCCCCCCCACAATTTATAAACAAATGGGGAGGTCTAGTGATTCTGCTGAAACAAAGGCTAAGTGTGGTGCCAAAGTTTACCATTCAAAATGTCTTTCCTAGTCAAGAGTTTCTTTTGTGCAATAGTATTTACTGTGTTAAAGAGAGAGAATTATTAGGGTGGGATAAAAGCCCCACACTAAGACAAGCTTATACAAACTCAATACTAGCTCTCTCATTTTAGGATTCCTACTTTCCAGCTACACTGCACCTGAAGAGTCTACAGTGCTCACCAGTACCTGCAATATTGGCCTGGATATCTATAGTTGCACAAGTCATTCCCTTGACGGGTCTGAATCTCTGGGGAGCATTCCAGTGAACCATTGAACCCAGGGACTGTTGACTTTGGAAATACATTTATCATGATGTTGCTTATTAGTCCAATGGGGAGGATTTTGTTTCCTTGATCTTGTCATGTAATCCCTATTAAAGGATTTGGTCTTTGGTTTTCTTTAGTAAGGCCATCAAGTCTTCTTTACTTGTAGTAAGTAATGTGTTATCTGTTTAATGGAAGCTGCTGATGAGTCTTGTTCCAATTCTGATGCAACATTCCTCTTCACATAGTTCAGCTTCTCAGATTATTTGCTCAGCAAAAATATTTTCTGAGTATACAGAAAAGATTCTACCTCATACTGATTTTAAATTATGCAGCCTTTCCTTGTTCTTGATATATATATATATATATATATATATATAGTTATTGTTATGTTCTGTCAAGTTGCATGTAACCCATAGTGACCCTATGTACAACGGCTCTGAACTCTGCCCTGTCCTGAGCCAGTTTCACTAACTCTGACACACTAACCTCCACTATCCACAGTCACTGTATCAATCCATCTTATCTGGGGTCTTCCTCTTCTGTGCTGTCCCTCCACTCTTCAGAGCACAAGGTCTTTCTCCAATGACCAGCCCCTCCTGGCCACGTGCCCAAAACATGTAAGACAGGACTTCAAAATCCTAGCCTCCAAGCAGAAACTTGGTTTCATCCTTTCCAAAACATACCTATTTGTTTTCATGGCAGTCTGTGGTATGGTCAAGACTCTTCTCAAGCATCACAATTCTAAGGCATCAATTCTTCTATCACCTTTAGTCATTGTCCAGTAAGTATATTAAGGATAATAAGTAATTGCAAAACCATGGCCTGGATTAGGAGCACCTTAGTCTCTAGACTGACATGGTTGCTTTTCAGCATTCTGGAGAGGTCCCCGACCAAAGATTTTCCCAGTGCAATTCGCCTTTTAATTTCTTAATTGCTGGTGTGAGGAGTGCTGATTGTGGAGCCAAACAAGCTGTATGATTAACAACCCCAATCTGTTCTCCATCCATCATGGTGCTGTCAATTAGCTCAGTGGTGAGAATCTGTCATTTTGATGTTGAGCTTCAATCCATATTGAAGACTATAGTCCTTGACCTTCTGCAGTAAGTGCTATAGGTCTTCTTCAGTTTCAGCAAGCAAGGTTGTGTCATCTGCATAATGTAGGCTGTTGAGTCTACCTCCAATCCTGATGCCACATTCCTCCTCATAAGGCACTGCTTCCTGAAAGATCTGTTCTGCATATAGATTGAAAAGGTATGGAGACAGAATGTATCCCTAACACACTTCTTTCTGGATTTTGAACCATGCAGCACTTCCCTTTTCTGTTCTTAGGATTGCTTCCTGGTCCAAGCAAAGCTTTCACATAAGCACAATCAAGTATTCTGGGATTTCCATTTTCCTCAAGGTTCGCCACAATATGCTGTAATCCACAAAGTTAAATGCATAGGTTTCATATCATTAACTCCTCTGGTACCCATTTTTTTAAAGCTTATCCATAACTGAATTATGATCCAAATAACTTAATGCCTTTCATAGTCCATAACACGCATTTTTCTAGTATTCTCTGATTTGAACCACCTGATATTAACAGTGCAATTACTCCATACAGTCTTTTCTGTATCCAGCTTGAATTTCTGGCATTCCCATATGGGTCAACGTCCTGCTCCAGTTATATGTTAACACTCTCCAACAAGATTTCACTTGTATGTAATATTAGTGATACTCTGATATTCCACACTGTTGAATTACCTTTTTGTTTTGTTTTTAAATAAGAATAAATATGAATCTCTTCTAGTTGTTTTGCCAGGTGAGTCTCTTCCAAATTTCTTGGTATAGATTAGTGCTCAATACATCAAATCTGTTCTTGAGATGGCTTTCTGATGCAAGTACAAATAGACTCAAGGTTCTATTATGGCATTTTTGCATTATTATTTTACCTCCAATATGAACCTGCCTAAAAGTAATTGAGGGCTTTTTTCATAGTCATCCCCCAGGCTTGCCCTCGTTTTGACTGCTGATATTGAGATTCTCCCATGATCTTTTTTGAACAGACACAATCAATCTGATTCCTGTGTTGTCATTACATGAGGTACATGTATTCATTTACCTTTACTATCTTAAACTATGTGCAATAAATAAATCATCAATTGTAAAAAAATTCTAGCATATGATCACAAACTTCTCAACAAAGCCATTTTTCCCAACTACTATATTTCTAATTTGCTTCCAAGTTTTGTATTCTTGTCACCAATTATTCTCGAAGTATCTTGATTGCATATTCAAGCAATGTCAGACTGCAAATATAAATGTTATCATTGTTGCTGTGTGCTGTTGAGTCAGAACTGACTCCACAGCTGACCTTTCAGCAGGTTTTCAGAGGGAGTAAATAGCTTGTGAGGAGATTGTCCAAACTTCTCCCATGGAGCACTTGGTGGATTCAAACCATGTGCCTTTGGGATTAAATTGCAGCTTCTTATGACTAGGTCACCAAAACCGTCTACAAACATAAATAGAAATCCTCAATTTCACACACTTAGGCTTTAGTAGTTGGTGTATTTGTTTAATACTAGTTTTATTTACAGGTCTTCCTTGTAGATGCATGGATAGTATCTATCACTCAGAGCATTGTACTTCAGGATAGATCTTGAAATGTTCTTTTGGATGATGATACCATTCTTTAATTTGTCGTGGCTGGCATAGTAGATCATGTAATTATCTGACCATAAGTGGCCAATAGTAGTCTTTCTCAGCTCATTAAAACCTAGGTGATCTTTGAGGGTTCCAATTCATTTGGACAAATTATAATTTTCCTATATTCACACTTCATTCATTCTATATTCAATTAAAAATTAATATGGCTGTTTCTCCTCATTTAGAATCTTATCATATTTGAAAATGAAGGTACTTCATTACGTAAAAGCTTTACTCCTTCTGAGTTATTAAGGTTCACTCACTTTGAAAAGGCAGCTCTTTTTAGTTGCATTTTAGCCTGTTCTCCAATCTGAAGACCTTTTCTTACAGCACTATATGCAGCAGCAGTCTGTTATTCACAAGGTTTTCAGGGTCTATTACATCAGTCATGGATGTCTAGTCCTGCTCTAGTCTATTTTAGTCTGTAAGTTCCACTGAAATCTGTAAACCATAGAAGACTCTGCTGGTCTGTCAGTGCAATAGCTTCCAGGATCACAGCAACAGGCAAGCAATAGCAAAGCAAACTGACTGGCTAATAGTGGTCTACACACAGAGTTTTCCAAAATATTAAAATTTTCATTTTTCTTAAGAAATATTAAAAATGTCTTGCAATGTACTCCTATCTTCAAAGAATGAGGGGGGTCAAGGAACACTAAGTATTATTACATTAAGTATTATTATTTAGTGTGTATATACTCTCTGACACTGTATTATGTGCTGGTAAAAACTGAAGATACAATTCAGTAACTCAAAAGAAATTCAATACATTATTAATAATGATGACGTGCTATGAAACATATTATGAAAACAGACAGAAATGATATCAAATCAAATGACAAGAACAATTATTAATATAGAATATTTTCACCAAACAATACAGTACCTGGTTTGAGGTAATCCAAAGCTGGTTCCAATACCAACACGAGGTAGATAGTTAACTACTTTCTTTACAGTTGAAGAATCTGGGAAGTTGAACATCACAGCAACTGTAAAAATAAAATTTAATAGAACAAGAACATGGTATTACTTCCTTTAAATAATTGTCAACATGGTCCAATAACCTATTTATTCTTAAAATGTGTATCTATTAATTGCAATTGTACCTATTAATTGCAATTCTCATTATATTATTTTACTATACATCAAATTTTATTGTAAACATAAAAGAGTAGATACTCATTTCACTATTTCCTTTCTCATTCACAGTTCAAACTCTAAACACTGTCAAGAGTTCTAACCATGGTTGGTGTAGTTGGCTAAGATAATCACAACTTTTGGATAAATTATATTTTGGCACTTAAATTATTTTCCTATGAGTTACCAGAAAGAACCTCTAAAATTTTATATATAGTTAGTAACATAACAATGGGAATGATTAGTAACATAACAATGGGAATGACTTTTTAAATTTTTTTTACTTTTTTTTTTTTATAAATGTAATATGTTGCCACAAATGATGGCAAAAAACGTGTTTCTAAGCATGGTGTTAAATGAAAGTTTACAGAGATTTAGGGTTTCCAGTCATTCATTGTTGCACTTTTCTTCCTGCCCATTTCCTCCCCCCCCAATTCACCCCTCTCCTCAAAAAGAAAAAACAAAAACTCTCTTATTGTTAGGCAATCCTTCCCCCCAGGTCTACTCCACTATACAGCGTTCACTCTGGAATTTTGTAATGACAAGAACATGCAAAAATGGGAATAATTTTTAAAATATTCTCTTTCTTTATAATGCTTTTTAAGGTGTACTTCATATATTTTTATATGTTGTTGTTATGTGCCATCTAGTCGCTTAAATAGGAGAAAATCATATCTTTGGTGATTAATAAACAAAGGTATACTCTTTCTAAAAACGTCTATTTTCAATTATTACAATGAAGATTAAAAAAGGACATGTATATAAAAAATAATAATTTGTGCTAGTAATCTATAAATTATCCTTCTAAAAGCATAAGAAAGCTGTAAAGTAAATGACATCAGAAGATATTAAGTTGGTAGGCTATGAAATTTAATTACATTTTAACTTGAATATCATAATTTCACATGTAAATTATACACATGCACATTGGAAGAGCTCCTTCCTACTAATTTTGCCTTAATGAGAAGATCTGGTGGCCTGAGGATAGAGTCGCACTGCTAAACCACTGACAGGCAGTCTGAATCCATCAGCTGCTCCGAAGGACACTGGCTAATCTCCTCACATGCAGTTTACAGCCTCTGAAAACCCACTGGAGGTTCATCTACGAGTTGATTCTGACTTGACAATAATAAGTTGTATGCAATTTTGCTTAAAAAATTTTTAAACCAAAACTCCAAACTTTATTGTTGTGGTGTAGTTTTTTAACCCTGGCATGTTTAATTAAAAAAGCAACTAATCATTTATTAAACACATGCAAGATATTTAGAACTGACATAAATATATTCACCTTTTTTTAAAGCCTCTATTTCTTAAAAGAATACAAGAAAAAAAAATAAAAAGTTTTCACAGGCATAGCAGATGGCAATAAGAAAATAGATAACAGAAAAAAATTCCTTTAAAATAAGAAAACATACGAAATTTCAAAGAAGGAAAATGAATGAGGATGAGTAAGTAATAAAATATAAGACAGAAATTCCTTTGAGACAGCACAAATGCAGACTGAACTGAAGTTTGAAATATTCACCTGCTTATTTTCTAGGAAAAATAATGTTTACACTAGAAAATGTAAGTGTAGTCGAGAAAATCAAAGGAAAAAAAACCTCAAGAAATCTGCATTATCTAAGGAAACAAATCTCCCTGATTTCATACTACAATGGGGGAAAAGGTATGAAAGATAGTAACTCAGGGATTATAAAGTGAACCACTAAGAAAACACCAATCTCTTTTTAGCCACATGTGTAAGAAGTCACCAAGCTTTATGATATATTCTCCCTCTCACACCCACACATACTGAGCAACACTTTTCCTTAAAATGTATTTTGTTTCCTCTCAATGTCTTAATGAATTTTATCCAGTTTCATTCTAAATCGGCAAATTGAATTTTAGTTCCACTTTAAAGAATGAAAGCAAATAGAGCACTTCAGTATCATCTTCTGATGATGCCTTTAAAAATGGCAATGGATTAGACAAAATTAATGCGTGAATTGTTTAATTAAATGTCAATATCTTCAGCATGAGTTTAAGCATCAAAGCAATGTTGAAGATAGCTAATTAAATAGTTTTTTATCTCACATAACCCTCAACTAATTTATGATATGGTCAGAAAAAGAAGAGATATACAAATGAGACTAATGACCAAGTAAAAGAAATCCCATGAGTATGTGGCACCAAAGAAAAAAAAGAAAAAAAAAAAAGGAAGGCAGTAGGGCAGAACATATATAATATACTGTTTAACTGGAAACTATTACCTTTGCTCAAAATGAAATTTTAAAGATACAACATTACCTCTTCACAAAGTACTTTCTAAAGTGTATTACCTCTGTTTGCCATAAAGATCTCCAGGGCTGTATTTTGCAAAAGATAACGACGAGAGAAGATTGATCGTATCTCTGTGAACAACCATTTTCCATGCAGCCCTTCTGTGTATGCCAGGATCTAGTAGGGGGAAAAATAATCTCAAGTAAGTAAGGATTCCAAATTTTTCCTCTCTCATCCAATTCAAACAAACAAAAACTAAAAAAGAAAGAACTTTTTTTAAAACAACAACAACAATAAAGTTACTGAGATGGAGAGGAAGACTTCATTAAGTTTGTAAGATTTGGAAAAAGTTTAAGTGAAAACGTGGGGTCAAAAACTTTAGAACAATGATGAACCTTTATCTTTTACAGAAACACTATATTTTGATTGACTTTTGTCATAGACAGTATAGTTGTGAACAGAATGTTAAAAACAAAGACTTTAAAAGAATGTCACACATACTTATAAATCACATATATAATCCAGTTTCACCTAAAGTATATCCAGAAGCAGTCTTTGTGTATACATAAAAATGTAAATTCATATTAAACACACACATACACACACATCATACTTTAAAAGTCACTGTTAAAGCAAGAGTGACTTATTCAGAAAGCACAAAGGCTGACTGTAGAAGAGGTTAAGTATCATTTTGTCAGCTAAAGCTAAGCACAAACCTGCCAATGAACTCAGCATAATCTCTCCATGGAGTAGGTGGTTGTCAGAGTAACTTGTTACAATTCTTGTCATCCCATGTGACAGACACAGATGCTTAGAATGCTTGGCCAATTCAAAGTAATCCTGTCTTTAGGCATAAGCCACTTTGTTATTCAAGTTTTGTTTTCCTTTTTCTTTTTTAAAACTCATTTCAAAAGCATAAGTTTGAAAAATGTTAAAAGAAAAATTCAGCAGTCCTCCACCTTGGTACTCTACATAACATTAAGAAAATGAGATGCCTGAAGAAAATCCATGAAGTCCTCTGAGGTTAAAAAATTAAGTTACACCTTTTTAAAAATAACTACCTTGAAAAATAGTAATAAACAATATTTGATTATTACTGCTCAGCATCCAAAAGAACGAGTAGTAAAGAAAGGAAATAAAGTCCTAATCAATACTAAGAATTTACACTTCACATACTTTGCACTGTTCTTGTCTTTATTCTTTTCTATTTCTTGATGCTAAATGTAAATAAGGGAGTTGATGTAATATCACCATCATCAGGGAGTTATGCTAACCCAAAGGCAGGGACACTTGATGTTTCAAATTCACCAGTTGTTCTGTAGCAGAAGGATGGACAATCTCCTCCTATAAATTTACAGCTTTTGAAAACCCACTTGAGGGTCACCTATGATTCAGTTCTGACCCAATGGCAATGAATTAACAAAAAAAAAAAAACCCAAAACAAACTACATTACTTTGTTAAAAATACAAAGTCTCTTTCTCCCTCCAAAATCTTTTTTACTTATTTCAGCAAGAATGAAGTTGCCAACTTGATTTTTCTGTAGAAATTAATCCATTTCTGGTACTATAGGACTTCAAAAAAGGAATATAACTTCAAAACCAAGGACTGTTGTTAAAAAACAGAACCACACAAAATCAGAAAATATTCAAAATATCAAAGAAAGTAAAAACTCCTGTACATATATTCTAGCTCAATGATATGACCATTACTTATAAAAGAGAAATTGGTCAGAAAAGTAAGGACAAATCCATGAGATGTACTCTCAAGATTCTGATTTTAAGGGAGAGGTAGTCTGATCTCACTAGAACTACAACTCTCAATTCAGAGTCTTAAAGCTCTCCTCCTATGTAGTGTCCTACATGGCCTCTCTACTACTCTTAGCTTTAGAATAGTAAAAAAAAAAAAAGAGAGAGAGAGAGAGAGAAATTACATCATATCCTGCATTTAATGGTGGTCTAGTAGGAAAAAGATGTGCTGCAAACCAAAGGCACACAGTTCAAATCTACCAATTTCTTTGCTGGAGATAGATGTGGATGGGTAATTGCGTTCTGTGTGATTAACTACCTCTGAAAACCTGCTGGAGGGTCGGCTGTGAGTCAGTTCATATCCAAAGGCAAACTAAAACAAGAACTGGAAAATATTCCATGGACTGTCTAAAGAACAGATATGTCTTGGAAAAAGAGCAGCCAGAGTGCAGTTTGGAGGCAAAGATGGAAGAGCTTCATCTCCCAGACTTTGGGCATGTTGCTAGGGGTGGCTATTTTTTTGGGAAAAGATAACAGCTTTGGAATTGTGAAAGTTCAGTGAAAGAGAGAACAGCAAATTTTCATGCAAATATTACATGATAACACATGACATTCACTCTGCATTTTAGTACAGTTGTCTCTACATCAAGTTTTTACTCATTCACAATTACTGAGCTCTGATGGCCTAATGAGAAGAAGCTGCGCTGCAATCCTAAAAGCAAGTGGTGCAAATCCACCAACTGCTCCATGGGAGAAGGATGGGTAATCTCCTCCCCTGTGATTAAACTATTTCTGAAAACCTACTGGAGAATCAGCTGTGGGTTGGTTCTAAATCAATAACGCATTAACAAAAAGCCACCTAGTTCCATTGGCATTTCACATTGTCACCTGGATTTTTCAAATGTTTGAGAATTCTAAATATGTTTTATAACATACTGAATATACTCAATTATTAGAAAGGAAAATGAGGCCCAGACTAGTAAAACACCTAACATAAAATTCTGTGAGAAGTTAGTAGCAATAATTCAATTACTTCTAAATTTCCCAATACATGACTCTTGAACTTCAAGTATATACCACAAAGCTCATCAAGAAGTTTAACCAATGATCTTTGTTTTCATGAACTTGGGTTTTAGGTAAACCCCCAGCTAAAAAAAAAAAAAAATGAACAAAGAATCAAGTTCTAGTTCTGTAGGTATATTACACACTAATATGTAAATTGTAGCTTTTTTAATCTATAAAGCTATAAAAAGACAATGTGTTGCATTTAATAGTGACTTCCAATATAAGAAGGTCATATTCATTTAATTAAATATGTAGTGTTAAGAAGCTATGCTGCAGTCCTAAAAGCATGCAGTTCAAATCCACCAGGTTCTCTGCAGGAGGAGGATAGGCAAACTCCTCAAAGGTGGTTTACTGCCTCTGAAACTCAATGGAGAATCAGCTATGAGTCGGTTCTGACTCAACAACACAAAGCAATAACAACAAATATGATACTTAACAACAGATATAAGGACCTTAAACTATTTTATAAGATTCTGATGTACAGAAATAATTGTGATTAATTAGAAATTTCATTTCTTTATTTAAGCAATACGGTCTTTCAAAGATTTACTTGAAAAACAGCAAGTAGTACGTTGCTAATACTCTATTTCCAAATGTCAACCATACTCAAAAGCACAGAAAAATCAGTTTTTATATCCACTACTAAATATTACTAAGATCCTATGATTTGCCAAATTATTGCATATATTAAACAATTTACAGATAATTACAGATAGTGTTGAAACATTCATATATAATAATCCCTCCTAATTTCCCTTCTTCCTTAGAGAAAAGCACTCTCTTTTTTATGCAGTTTATTATTTCCATTTAAATTCTGATACTAGTACAATTATATCCATGATTATTATCTAGCATTGTTTAGTATGATTTTAAACTTTATATAAATGGAAATATAATGAATGGCAGAGTTTTTCCAGTCACAGTAATTTTTTAAGACTTCATAAAAGGCAAACAGGAAGGATTAAGTTTTTTTTCAATATAGTTAAAAGCTAAAAAAGAAAAATCTTAAAAGAAACTGATACGATTTTTAAAGAGAAAAATAACTCATGAAATCCTACATTATGGGAAACATAGGTAGGGGATGAAATAAAATACAAACAGAATTCCTTGCTAAATGGATATAATATTATTTCCTTATTTGTCACAAAAAGGTGTCGGTTCTCAAAAACAGTGGAAGTCAATCTAAGCAAGAGGTACATTTCTTATTGGAATAGTATATGCCTGGTCTGAGGCTTCACTTCAAAGTCTCTAGAGTTCAATTAAAACTGGATTAGGTAGAAGCAGACCCTTCTTTGGGACTCTGTTCACTGAAACTCTACATACACTGACAGCACCCTAGACAGAGGTCTAGCCCTCCAATGAATCGGTTACTATGGTAACCATATCATTACCATTGCTCTGCAGTTATGACCTCAAGTGTAGAATAGCTTGAAAGCTTAAGCCCACAGCACTCTCTTTAAATGTTCACCGCATCATTTTATTCAGCTTTTTGGTATTATTAATAGTGAATTTAACTTTATATACATACACCCATACACATTTGTGTGTGTGTGTGAATATATATATATATACACACACATATATATATATATATATATATACATACTTAGTCTAGTATATTATTTAAACTTTAGCTAAAAGAGACACAGCAGAGAGAAATAAATCACTAATTAATATAAATTTAAGTAAAATATTTAAAGTTGTATTTCCATATTTTTATCATGACTCTGAATTCTGTTATATAATATTTTCTCTAAATTACGATATCAAGGTATAATATTTGAATTGCTTCAGGTTTGAAGTTTTAAAAAATATTTAATTAAAGCAAAACTTGAAGACCTTTCATTGAATTTGAAGAATGGTTGATTATGGTGAACAATTTAAGATGTTTATTCTGTTATTATATCTGCATTTCTAACCACTTTAATTGAGCTAAACAAATTAAAAAAAGGAGTAGAGAAATAATAACAAAATATGAGTTATTTAAGTGTGAAAAATCATCCTTTAAATTATTTATAGGTTATTATTTTTATACTTGCATCAATATTTTCTCCTTGTGTTTACTGGTAGTATTATATGGTACAGTTTTCTTAGCATTAAGAAACAATGTTTAATACTTAGGAATATCTTTAGCATTTTCATGGATGACAATTTCAATTAAATATATTCATTACTCTAATGTGGTACTTGGCAGTTTAGTCACTATGAAAAATTAAAAATATATAAATAAGATGTTATGTGACCTTTGTATTGATTAGGCTAAAATGGTTTTAGCCTAGGTATGGATGGATGATGGGAGAGTTGGGAGGGGTAAGAGGGGAGTATACAAACACACACACTCTTATGTTTTCTCTTCCAATTACTGA